CCTATTAGTGTGTTTCACTTAGGATGCAATAAGCCAACTACTGTATTTCATCTCCTTAAGATGTTCCAGGAAACCTAAAACAATGGTTTATACTTAAATTTGTTGGGGTGGTGGGGTTTCTTTGGGTTTTTTGCTTGTTTGATTATAACAAACTTACAAATATACATTTTTTTAAATCCAGTAGGCACTATTTCTTTTGGTGTGTATTTTATTTTGGTGCACCTAGTCCTCTCCAACAGAAGAAAGCTGTAAACCTGATTTGTCCCAACTAAGTTCCTCTCCCATCTCTAATTCTTCTGCACCTAGAAAAGAGCTCAAATTTTAAAAGTAAACCTAAATTCTTTTATATTCACACTTCACAATACATTTAGGATGTATTAGGATAGATTTAAAAGGCACAGTATAGAAAATCTTCAAGCCCTAGTGCCAGCTGGTTCGGAGCAATTAGTTTATTTGCTTCTCAGAGCAGGTTAGAGCACTGTATTCTGAAAGCCCACCACAGATGGCGAAAGAAGGAAAGGTTCCTCCTTCTAAGCGCTGCTGTAATCTTGCATAGATGGAGGTAGCATTCCCACATACCAGTATGTACCCGAGGACTCAAGCTACGGGACTTTCACTTGAGAATCACTAATTGTAGAACCTGTTTTCCTCAATGTGGAGTGCACAGAGCAGGAAAGGGAGCTGTACTTCTGGAGTTAGTCTTGACAACTAAGGAAAAGCAACCACTAATGCCAGGCATCCAAACAGCAGGCTGAAGGAGGCATACAGTTTCAGGGATTTCCCCTTTCCCCTTCATGGATGTAAATCCCTGCTACAACTTTATGAGGCGGCTTTGCCTTTACCTGGCCACATTTTCCATAGAAAGAACAAATCCAGTAAGCACAGCACAGCTCATTGAAATGTTCCGAGGTCAGATATTGCTGCCAAGGCAGCCGACCGCTGGTTATTCAGGACAACTTTCCCATTTTTAATCTAATATTAAGAAAAGTGAAGGCTGAGGTCCCTCAAGTAAATAGGGAGTTCATCTTTAATTTTAATCAGAACAGTACTACACTAGATGCAATATACATTTAGAGTTCAGAAAGCTCACACGATAACGTATTAAAGACAAAAGAGTAGACTTGAAACAATATACAAACACTGTTATGTGAACTAAATGCTATGGAAGTATGACAACATATTGCATGGGGGGAACACACACATTTAGTGACTATTTAAAAAAATATTTGGCTAGCCTACAACTAGTGCGGAGAGAAATTTGGGGTTAAAAGTTTATGCTGCACAGCAAACACTATTTAAACTGAGATTTTTCCCAGGGAAGAACACATCAAGTCATCTGAAACTGGCTGGGACAAAACTCACAAGCAAGGGAGAGAAAAATCCCAGACTGATGGAGATGAAATAATTTATTCATCTCTATCATCATTACTATGGAGAATGCTATCTTTGTGGCTCCTCTGAAACCTAGCCAAGTTCTTTGGAGGTCATGCAGAATACTTTCAGTGCTAGCTTGAGATCACCATCTGCAACCCAAAGTACTCTGTATTTCAGCTACTATTCAAATCAGAAAATTTGGAAAGGATTTGCACTGTGACAGTAATGACACCAACATGAAAGTTGAGCTGTAAGTTTCCCACGTTGTAGGTGGCTGTTTTATGTTAACAATACTGTCCTTAAAGCTGTGCATTTTCCTCTGCTCACGTTAAAGTGGCACTGCAGAGACTTTAGTAGAATACTTAAGACAACTATTTGTTTCAAATAGTGAATGACCAAAGAAAACGTAAGTTTAATCAGTGTTAAGGCAAGGAAAAGCCTTTATAAGCTCATTATATCATTTATCGGGACATTTTTTGCATGTATTCTGATAGTCAGTTACAAAAATCTCTGGAATCTAGCACCAAGATAAATATCTGGGGGGGAAAAAAAAAGGCTCCAAAACTAGTCTAAAACCTTTCTAAATTTGGAGTTTGTATCCCTATAAAACTCTGTGGACATTAGATTTTTAGCTCTTTATAGTACTGTGCAAGAGCTGTTTAACTAGCCCGTTCACTCCAAAGATACATACGGATTTAAGAACAAAGTATTTCAAACTGTATTGTATTGGGCCAGGCGTAACACAGAATTGGCAAATTTGTTTTTAATACAGAGCTTACTTGCTCTTCCACATAAAAACACAATGTTAAGTATCACAAGATTAAGTGCCAAGTCTTGAAGAAAGATCTTGACTGTGTCAAAGCCAAGATCCTGTCAAGGCAAGCTATCTGAAACAGAGTAGAAAGAAGCATGGATACACAGTATAGCAGCAGGAACAAATGCAGGATAGGGTCCAAAATGAATAAAGAACATTTTAACAATTCAGCCATAATATAAGTCACTTAATTTGACTGCATATGTAAACATTTCGTGTCAGCAACCTGCTTACTCTCATGCCAAATCTTGTTCATGCTCAAAACATGCACTTTAAACCAAAATTGATAGCTAAAGAATCAATAGGGTTCTTTTAAAAATAGCAACACTTTTTATTGCAATTGATTTTAGAATTATGCCTTTTGTATCCAGCTAACTTCAATTTCATTTAGTCCAATAAAATGGTATTTGCAGACTAAGCTGGAGCTCCACAACTCCAGTATTCTCCCGTATCAGTTCTCCCTACTTCACTAAGCTGTACCTATTTCTGATGGTATGCAAGATTTGAAATGGTTTTAAACGAGTTTTGCTTTCTGATTTTTTGAACACAGCCCTTTATTATCTTCCCTTTATGAGTAACTTGTACGGCTACCATCTTCCAATAACAATATATTCAGAAGAGACAATTGATAAAATCAACAGTATAGGCAAAGGGTTTAGCAAAGTTTTAACTTTAAATGTCACTGAAGCAAAAACATATTTCTCCAAGCATTTGCTTTCACATCAGAACTAATATAACCAATTGCTACTGTTTCATCAAACACAACTAAAAAGTAATTTGGGGGAACAAAAGAAGAAATAGTAAATCTCAAATTATCCATGTCACAATACCTCATCAATTTCTTTTGTTATGCTACTCCGTTGTATTTTATTATGTGGACAAAATGTATTTGAACATCAGTTTTCTTATTTTATGCTTACTTATGTGCAGCTGAGAAAAGCCACAGCATATCCCAAAAGAAAGTAGGTAAACATGCGCAGCAGCAGCCAACAACACTTACCTGCCATTCTTAGGCTATATTATATCATGCAACAAAAACTAAAAGCAGAAATATGTGAACCTTCCAGAAGGCTTGGCATTGATCAGACACGCTATTCACCTCTTCTTTTCAAAAGCAGTTTTGTCTCTATATTCTCTGACCCTCCTTTTAAGGAGGGACGAGGTTAACTGTCAGATTTCAATGCCAAATCAAATGAGGTTCACATATACACCTTGAACATGATGATGTTGGAGAGCTATGAATAGCTGTTGCCAGCCAATCTGCACATGCAGCATTATTCAGTATGCAGTGGCACACTCCAAGAGAAGAAAAGAGAATTGGGTTTCATATTCAGTCTTTCCTTTAAGGTGCATGTATCTCCTTGCAATTTAAGTAAGTCTTCAAATAATTCAATTTCTTTTTGAATTTTGATAAAAAGCAAAACAGAATTTTGGTTTAAAACAAGAATCGTATCAGATTCCAACAGTAAAATACAATTTGAAAGCCTTCCCTCCAATAAAGATTTTACATTTTAGAAACTGAGGTTATTTTAAAACACATTATTGCTTTCTACAAAAGTTTGCTGAACAATTATCCATAGCTCAGGCATGCAAAGCTGTTAGAAGGATGGCAAAGTGAAACCATACATTTAGTACATGACAAATGCAGTCTACTGCAGGCAAAGAGTAATAGATATATAAAATCATCATCTCACTTTCAAAATCAAGGAAAAAATTTGGCCCCTGCTCAAGGTCTGTGCATGTCAAAACTTTTAGAAGGTTCCCCATGTTAAGGTACCTGCCAAGACAAGAATGAGAGAAAAGAAAATTTTCTTTTTACAAGAAGGAACAGCCCAAATATAGTTGATTGAAGCAGTGGGGGAAAAGAAGACCAGAGAGTTCCATCAGGCACGAACCCGTCCTTCAGGCTGCTGCCCTGATGGGTGGAGGGAGACCCCACCTCCAGGACATACAGCTGGTGATCCCAGAGATGCAATGCAGCTTTCCTGTAAGAAGTGACTACGTCACCGACATCTTCACAGCCGCCCCTTTGGAAAGGGACAGAACTCCAACTGAAGGCATTGCCAGTGACTAATTCTGTCCCGGTACACCATAGCACCAGTGTCCTGAGCAGGAGTACCATGTTGAGGGCTAAGTACCGCATTTGCAAACATTGGCATGGTAGCCATGCTACAGATTTTCACCTGATGGGACAACAGAAGGAAACAGCTTTAATTTTCTCAGCCCTCATAATTTTATCAGAAAGTCATTAGAGAAAACTGCATCAAGAGACATCATTCCAGTGTGCAGAAAATGCTAATGCAAGTATGCCACAGATCTTTTACACAAGTTGCCTAAAACATTTGTGAAGCTCTGACAATTCCACTTTGGACTTCCGGATGTAAAAAATACACATTAACTGCACCATGAATGACCCAGCCAGGATCAGGAATGATTTAGTACTCACTCTTGATAAGACAGGATTACAGTGAGAAACTGCTCAGCACAGATTACTAAGGCATACTGACAGAATTTTTTATGATTACTTGATTTGCAGGCAGATGGATGGACATCACTGACCACAGAGACCCAAAAATGACTAAGCACATGGAAAGAAAAAATTTACACAGTAGCATGATGGTGGCTTGGCTACTACTGGAGGGGGGGGTGGAAAAAAGGAATGGAAAAACCACATGCAACTCTTTTTCCAATTGCAGATGTGCAACTGAGTCCCCTAGCCTTCACTGCAGCAGGTATAAGCAACCCTACTGTTACCATTTTAAAATGCACCAGCTGTGAAGGGCCGAGAGACTTACTTTCAAAATCCAAGAAAAAATGTGCTGCATTGTGGTCTATGTCCCTGGTTAGCACCTTAATGAGATTACCCATGCCAGCAAACCTAAAAATAAAAATGGCAAAATAATTAAGTTCCAATAACCATTTCCTATCTTAAGTACACGCCTGGGGCTCACCGGAGCAGGGCTCCCATTGGGTTTTGCACACTGGATTAATCACCTTCTGGTGGTAAGTAGAAGACGTGTACTATACACAGCGCATTTCCACTCCCCTTCTTCTCAGAGAGGAGTGATTAATGAAAAAATTAAGTTATAGCTTTGACAAAAATACTGGCTCTTTTTCAGCTTTGTTTAATACATGTAAAGTATTATGTTATGTATGAGGACTGAGCAATTGTTTTGCATAACGGCAGCAACCCTTAGCCAACAAAGCCATTTTTGCTTAGGACAAAAGCAACCTCAAATTGAACTGGTGTAATCATAAGCCTGATTTTTAGCATATCTCCACAATCCAAAACAAATTTCAGAAAGCCTCTTAGTAGTAGTCATCTGTGGCCAATGAACAGTTTTTCCCTGTCAAATCACATAAAGCGACAAGTTAAATGCGTTAAGACTTTTCCAAAACCAGGAGATAATCAAGTTTCAACAGTTCTTCTCATGTTTGCTGTCACATCCCAGCTAAAAGAAAAGTGGAAGAAAAATTAAATAGTGATTAATCTAGGTCAGAAATTAATGAAACAGTATAAAACGTTAGCATAAGTTTCAGAAATCAATACCTTCAGTAGGACTACGAAAACTGCACTTCATGACAAGGCACCTTTTCAAGGAACCTCACACGTTTTAGAGAGGCTGGAAACATAAACTTAAAAACCTGAATGCCCTGAAATATCAGTTCATTGGAGTGCTGCTGCAAGACAAACACAAGACACTACCCAAAAACCTGATTTCAAATTATTTAAGAATAAGTTCTCAACAGTCTGACATGTGGATTCAAGCATAAAGATCTAAAAATCAAGTTTCAAATTAGTGTAACTATACCAACTTACCAGTGTATGCGTGTGTGTCCGCCCCCCTTTTTTTTTATTTCTAATTGGAGGGACGTAGCACAACAGTAATAATTATTAATTTATTTATTCAGAATCAAGAAAACTGAAGCAATGTGAAGTCAGAACAAATTGTCTGGCAAAACTAATTTTCAGAACCTGTGTTGCTAGATTTCTTTGAGTTCCGTAAGAAAATGCAACTGGTATGTGAGGGATAAGCAGACTAAGAACAGCACAAGATCCACAAGATTCAGCAGTAAATCACAAAATTAACAAAAGCTAGAGAAGAAAGTGGGAATTAATCCCCAATTGTTGAAAATTACTCAGTCTTTGCTCCAACAACTAATTACACTAGGCTTTGCTCCAACAACTTCCATAGAACGACCACACAACAGTTAAAAATGTAGATTTTTAGAAAAGCAACTTTGAGTATAATCCAACTGATCACAATGGATTCTGCACATAGAACCTCTTCACTGGGTGTGTGCTTGCTTTTTTTTTTTTTTGCACATTTAACTTTCTTCTTTGAATGCCAGAAAATGCAAGTCCTGCTTCCTAAGCATTTGAATTTCTGTTTTCTGGGAAGTCTGATCAGATTTCCAAGCCTCTGAGAAACACCCATTATTTAAGGAAGTTTTAAATTAGGGTGTCCAGTGTAGACACTTATCTTAAAAATTAATCCATCAAAAGGCGTTTCTCAGAGAGGCAGCTTTGCCAGAGCTTTCTATTCCACAGCTTAGTGAATGCTTCAAATGCTACACGTGCACCAATGCTGTGTAAACAAGCACCATCAGAAGGCAGAGAGACTATTCTTCCGTATCTTGCAAGCATGTTCTGTAACACAGGACTGAAAAAGCCACTTAGTCCACTCCCTAACAACGCGGACATTCATAATCTGGAAAAAGCTGGAATACAGAAGCATTCTTTAACAAGTATTTTCAACGGGGGCAATAAAAAGCCAAAAGCGCAAGCCATCAAATGCTGATCATGTCTGTGGATTCAGATTAAAAACCAAACCTCGATGTCAGAACAGTGAAATACAGGTAAATTCCAACTTTAACAAGCAAGTAGCAAATACATAGCAGTAAATGGTGCTGCCTGAAGAGAACTCTAGCTATACCTACAATCACTGCCACGCTGCAGCTCTTCAGCTGCACCATCCCCTCCTCCACCAAAATATTTTCAATACCTCAAGTAAATGCCTCTACATCGGTTTTGCCTTTGTTTTGATATTAACCAGTCTCCTAAGAGTTGACAGGGTCATGAATGTGGTTTAAATATCGGATAACGTAGCTTCTGAAGGTCAGAGTAGGGGCATGCCTATAGGTTTGAAATATTTTGAAGATAAGTTTACAGAAGAGCATATAGCCACTGCAGAACAGATTGTTTAATTGAATCCCTACCACTTCCTAAAATGAGTAGGGGGTCGGGGACCCAGTTTTGCAATACAAATACCTTCATTAAGAGCTTCATCCCTCAGAAAAATTTGCCAGTATGAATATAGGGTTTCTTTCCTGGGAGCGAGTTTAACAAATAGAGAAGCACAATAAAAGGTTTGGCACTACAATGAAACAGTAGAGGTGAAACAAATTCAAGCAGAAGATGCAACTGACCTCAAGGTAACAGTTCAGTGAACAGCCTCTCTCAGAAAAGGAGAGAAATTGAAGATGATGAGAACGGATTAATTCAACTTCAACAGCAACAAGATGACACCGTGTGATACAGGAATACATTTCAATTTACATGAATACAAAGCTGAACGAACACTTGTCCGTAATAAAGTTCGTAACAGACCTCCTCCCTCATGCATTCAGCATACTGAAAAAAATCTTGGTGAACTTTGGTCGTGTCACAGTGTCACATACAAGATACGTGACCACATTTGCTTTCTTCGCAGAACATTCACCATATATTCAGTTTTTATGGAGTGAATGGGAATCCAGCAGAAGCTGGACAAACACGTTATTGTTGAAACTTGTGTCAGGATGAATTTTAACAGTTACTCAAGGATCTCGAGTATTCCTTAACACCAGGGGATTTGCTATGTTTTAAGAACTGTGAAAATGACTATTCCTCCAAGTTGCAATCCAAAAAGTCAGACTTTAAGAAGCTAGAAAAAGAGCTTGAAAACTCAATTTAGACAAAAGTTGAGATGATATAATTGGTCTAGCATTTCTTGGGAAGATACTTTCTCCCTCCTTAGCACTGAAGGTAATGAATGCAAGATCCGACAGAGACGATTTTACTCTTCTGGTGATGCTAAGCACTAGTTTCTTCTCTGAAACAGCCTTCTAGAAACGAGACCATGGTGTCACAGCATAGAGCTTCCCAGATGCATGGAAGCAGCTGTAGGTCAACATGCTCAGGTTAGATGGCTTCTTGAGGTTATTTTGCTTCAAAAGATATACCTAAGCAGCAAGAGGAGCTGACCTGTTGCATGCAGATGGAACCCTACAGGAAAACTGACCTTTCTGTGAGGCTGCCATGCCAGAATACCTGTATCAATCTAGAGGAAAGCAACCTAGCTCAGAGATGCCTCAGGCTCCTGAAAGATCCAGATTTACTAGAGATTCTGTTTTTGTTCAGGATGGTTCATCATCTACATTTCTGCTGGGCCCAAAACAAATGAAAGAAGGTCCATGACTGTCTCTGATCATAGAATCATTAAGGTTGGAAAAGACCTCTAAGATCATCAAGTCCAACCATCAACCCAACACCATCATGCCTACTAAACCACGTCCCAAAGTGCCACATCTACACGTTTTTTTGAACACCACCAGGGATGGGGACTCAACCACTTCCCTGGGCAGCCCGTTCCAATGCTTGGCTGCTCTTTCAGTTAAAGACATTTTTCCTAATATTCAATCAAAACCTCTCCTGGCACAACTTAAGTCATTTCCTCTCATCCTATTGCTTGTTATTTGGCAGAAGACACCAACACCCACCTTGCTACAGCCTCCTTTCAGGCAGTTGTGGAGGGCAACAAGGTCTCCCCTCTGCCTCGTCTTCTCCAGGCTGAACAACCCCAGTTCCCTCAGCCACTCCTCATCAGCCTTGTGCTCCAGACCCCTCACCAGCTTCATTGCTCTCCGCTGGACATGTTCCAGCACCTCAATGTCCTTCTTGTAGTGAGGGGCCCAAAACTGAACACAGCATTGCAAGAGGCAGTGTCACCAATGCCGAGTACAGGGGCACAACCACTTCCCTGGTCCTGCTGGCCACATTATTCCTGATACAAGCCAGGATGCTGTTGGCCTTCTTGGCCACCTGGGCGCACTGCTGTCGGTAGACAGCAAGGTCTGTACACACCTCCATACATATCGCCTTTGCCGGTAAAGCACGTAACACTCATCAGCTGCAGTACTCCACAGCTAGAAAGCTGGAATTAAACCACCAGCAGACACACAGAGAGCACTGAGCACAGCATCAGCGCACCTCCCTGGGACCACGGAGGTGTTAAGGTCAAGTCCCTGCTGTATTTAGGCATGACAGGGATTTAAAAAGAACTCTAATATTCAAGGTAAGCATCCTGGCTATTGTATAGTTTGGTTGTCTTACTTATAAAATATATAATAATAATAATATTAAATATTAATACTATTAAAGATGATAAAAACCCACATGTAGTAAAAAACCAAACAGTCTACAGAACTAGCCATTGCAGTCATCCTCAGGGACCTCTACTGCTATTTGTTGCCCTTAAACATCACTGTAGTTCTATGATAGTTCTAGGAAGACTTATCTTGGTAATTAACCCACCAATAGTGGCACACCCGGTTGGTACTGATTTATCAAGCACTCTCTTATGTCCTTGAAAGTCCACAACTTCAGCTGAAGTAAGTAGGATTACTGTTTTAGAAGTCAGATGCGGTTCCAGTTAACTAGCCCTGATGTTGAGCTATCGTTGTCTAGTCAAGAACATCTTCCAGCACTATCTGTATCCTTCTTGAGCGCATTACCACTTTGGTCACCCCCAACTCAAGATTTGAGCCTACATAAAGACCAAAGCCAACAACTTTACTACTACTAAAGACCAAAGCCTGCTAGTACTGCCTGAGTTT